TCAGGTGGATTCCACTATTACAGATTCTTGAGCGCAGCATTTACCCCTCTGGGTGGAAGCTCCGGCTGTAGACACTTAATGGGGCAATAAGATGACTTATTGGGGAAGGGGGGAATTAGCCCTGATGCCCTTCCCCCTCCCATTTTTTGAGGAGATCCCTTCCAGGTGAGCACCACACAACACGTCTGTTCCAGGTCTCAGATTTCAAAGCCTGGAAGGGTGGACACAGCCAGGCAAGTAGCTTATTGAAAAAGGAGGTCATCCTATTTTTTTAGGCGCACTTTAAATGAAGTGCCGACTCTGATTACATGATCAGTCCTGGCGCTGCAAGGCCACACCCCATAGTCGGCTATGGCACAAGCTGCCTGTTATTCGGCTTCACGCTCTGAGCTGCGGGAGAGACTTACATAGATGAGAAACTTCAGCTTGCGTTTGAGATTCTTGTACTTCCTCTTGTAGTCCACCTCGCCGTCCGCCTGTCCGTTCATTCTCGGCTCACACAGGTCCCTGCAGAAGTGAATGACAAAGACAGAAGGTCAGCAAAACATTTGCAGGATGCAACTCACTACCAGAGCCTGTACTCTACAGGAGCAGAGCAGTGACAATACAGATGCTCATGGCAGGCAGAAGCCAACTGTCAACATTGAAGACCATTAGGTCACAGAGGAGGAACTACAGGCCCCAGCATGTCCTCAGGCAGATGAGAGTGGGGCTTGGAGTTGCCATATTATGTTTTTGGAGCTCTCACCTCACACACAGCTCCTTTCTGTAACAGGAAGACAAACCTGGCCAGTTCCTGTAGTAACATGACCTCACTTCCGCCCATAACCCCGCCTACCAGAGGGCTGCGCGTGTCGGCCATGTTGCTGTAGACCAATATCCTTTATATGAAATGGACAACAAGACTACGGCAAGAAGGCGCCAGAGGGCGGGGCCTTCTCCCAGAGCGCTGAGGGCTGGTCAAGTGCTGAATCAGGAGGCGCTGGGCGGAGCCTTCACCTGGTCCAGCGCGCTCCGCCAATACGCGCCGGGTGGGCGGAGCGGGGGACCCGGGGGTTGGAGGTTTAAACATGGCAGAAGAGGTAGAGCGGGAGATGAGGCTCTTCACCCAGCGGATCTTCAAGGGGACCCCGGACCTCAGGTGCGTACCGGGCAGTCACGTGTGGAGGGCATGTGACAGCGCGGCTGTGACGTCATGGAGCACCGGAGCCTCGGCACGATGGTTCAGGGGGCTGACGTGAAACCTTTATGACGTCACGGTGATACATAGGATGGCAGAAGTGTACCTGCTGCCGACTTGGCAACCAATCTTGGTTATTAGTACCGGCTTCCCCAGGTGCTGGACTGGGATATGATGTCGTGTGGAGCTGGGGTCATGTGACAGCCTGGTGATGTCAGAGTGACCAGATAGTTACCATAGCAGCTGCCCTCTTTTATTTCCGGGTAGCTGTCATGGCAACTGCCCACCCCTCCTTAATGTATTTGCCATGGCCAATTAATTTATGGGTGTTGGAGTCATGCATGAAGCCCCCGTCGCCTATAGCAACCAAATCCAGCCATTCTTGTAGTGCACATTAGATAAGAGGCCTCGCACAGGGTTCCTGTGTCCCAATGTATCATAAATAAATTAATTGCGGACCTTGAGGTGCCTCATAGCGGGCTGTCGGCGCTTGTTGCCAATGGCAACCAGGACATTTAGGCAGAAGGGGCAGTGTGGTTGTTATGGGAGAAAATAATCTATTCATTTACTCGAAGCCCACGTGAGGGTGGTGTGTCGATAAGACCTCATAGTGGAGTCATGACATCACAGTTATGGTTGGATCCATAATAACAAATGTTATCAAACTGTGATGAGAAGAGTGAGGAGATACAATGGGAATTTATCAAAATCGGGAGCAGTTGCCCATGGCAACCAATCAGCTTCTAGTTTGCAAGTGTAATTGATCAAACTGAAGAGAGAAGATGATTGGTTGCTATGGGCTAAAGCTCCGGCTTTCATAAGTTCCTCTCAGTGTATTGTTGTGAACGTTTTGTTTTTTTCTGCCCCGGACAATCCAATGAAGGGTTCTTTCCAGTGCGGTGGGCTGGGGGTGCGAATAAATATTTTGGATGACCTTCTAGAAGGGTCCCTCTCTTCTGCCTGGAGAGAAGTTAGCTCCAGAAGGTCCTGGTCTCCCAGGTTCTGCCCAAGGTTCTGTCTAGAGAGAATGTAGGTCCAGAAGGTCCTGGACTCCCATGTCCTGCCTTAGGCAAAATAGGGAAACACACATATTCAAACATTTATACACTCAATAAAACAAATACACACGTAATGAAACACACACATTATACACACACACACACACATTACACACACACACACACACATTACACACACACACACACATTACACACACACACACACACACAGAACTAATAAAAATGAATAATTAAAACATTGCCCCCTCTCCTGCTTACCTGTTTTGCATGGAGGTGGGCTGCATCCCTGGGGTCTCTCATCTCTGCATCTCTCATGGGGGAGCTGTGCGGCTCTGGGGGTGCTGTGCGGCTCTCTGGTGGGGAGGGGAAAGTTGTTTTGCTCTCAGGAGGGGAGGGGGAAATGGCTGTGCGGCTCTCACGGGGGATCCGAATGTCCCGGATCGCCTCTGTAGTCGAGCCGGTCACAATCAGGCAGCGGTGACCTCTAAACAGGCTGATTAATCTGCCTGTTTAGAGGCCGCTGCCTGATTGTGACTGGCCCGTATTGCGTACATGAGGCGATCCGGGTCGGTCTGATCTATTTCCATTGGTGGTCCCTGAACCTGGGCTTGCGTGCCAGCAGAGAGGGCCCCACGTACCCTTCCTGGCACGTGTGCCATGGGTTCGCCACCACTGCTCTAGAAGGTCCTGGCCTCCCAGGTTTTGTCTAGAGAGAATGTAAGTCCAGAAGGTCCTGGCCTCCCAGGTTTTGTCTAGAGAGAATGTAAGTCCAGAAGGTCCTGGCCTCCCATGTCCTGCCTGCAGAGGATGTTGCTCTAGAAGGTCCTGGCCTCCCAGCACCTGGCTGGTAAGGATGTGGGAACGGAGGTCCAGTCTTTGCCTGGGAAAGGAAGCCAGAAAAGGGGTTTTGTGCTCCTTGTTGCCCCTCTAGGCCTGGGGTATCTACACTGGGTTGGGACAGAAACCATAAAGAGCCCTGAACTGCAGCAGAGGTTAAAACAAAATGGAGAATTTGAGCCGTCCTGTGGCAGAGACCTACAATGTAGACCCCCCTCCGAGCCTATAGAATTCTTGAAAGAAGTCTGCTGCACAACGGGATTTTTGATGGGTTTTGGGGTACCCAGTCCGCCTAATACAAAATAAGTCTGAAGGCTATAAAGTCGGTCTGATTGGTGGGTCAGTGAGGGTCTGGATGCAGCTATTGGGCCGGTCACCATTCGGAAGACTAGGAGAACCTGGTAAAATAAATCCAGCAGCTCCTGAGGGGGGCCGTTGTCACATGACGCAGGAGGGGGTGTCACCATGCTCTGTAGGTTCCGTCTCCTGGTGTAATGGAGGAAGGACTGAGGAGATACGTATGAGGTGATGTAGGGTGGGCATTAAAGAGACCTGGTCTCCTGAATCCTTTCTTCCCTTTTCTGAATTGGCATTTTGTCAAATTTGACGGTGACCCGTAATCATTATTTCTCCCCTTCTCTTCCACAGCGTCCTGTCCCAGTCTGTAGTGCGCTCCAAGTTCCTGGCTCATTGTGGCCGATCCTCGCTGACTGCGGAGGAGCGCCTGAAACTCAAGAAGATAGTGGAGGAAGAGCTCCTGAAGATGCAGGTATAACTTTGACCCCCTTCCTCTGCGTACTGAGCGGGAGTTCACAAGGTGCAGAACCTTTCAGATAAAGTCAAGAAGAGTTAAAGACCGCGTTGAGTAAATTTTTTTTGCACTGGGGGAAATTTTCCTTCAGTGAGAAGAAATCCCTACAAGGGGGAGGGGGGACTCACTCCGGGATGTTTTGGTGGAAACTCTAAAATTTTGGATTTCCATCACGTTCTCCCTCGGTGGCGGTGATCACCAGGACACGTAGTGGGGACAATCTCTCACAGCAATAAAAAGGGGACATGGGGCTCACACCTGGGCGATCTGTGACCGCTCGGCAATCGTGCATGATGCCGCGCGGTCACGGAGTCTCCCATCACCGACGATCGCGCTGTGGGTGCCATTATTTTCTAATGGCACCCCAGTCACGCCGGGCGCATCGTGCGGTTTTTCCGCCGCAATTCCGCCCGTGCATCCGAACGCGGCTAAAACAGCTGAGCGTCGTGTATTGCAAAAAAAAAGGTACATGTACCTTTTTTCTGCGATGGCCGTGCAGATGTCACCCCATTGAAATCAATGGGGCTGTCTGCAATTGTGTAGGGACGCGCGTCCCGGATCGCCCAGGTCTGCATCGGGCCTAAACGGTAATACCACTTAATTGGGAAAAAATGAAATTACCCACCTAA